CAAGTCTTAGCATATGCTGATGACATTGACATAATAGGAATCCGATAGCAAATGAGGAACAAGAAACAGTCTTTGGAAGTCATACCTTTGGACGTGTTGACAACTTCACATACCTTGGGTCGCTATTGACTGCTACCAATAAAACAAGCGAAGAAATCAAAAGACGAATAAAAAAGTGTATCATTTTCACGGAGAAATTAATATAAAAGAATGTTAAATCCAATTATCTTTTTCTTTAAAATGTTCTAGACTAAATTTTTAAAAATCTGTTTTTTTTTTGTATAAATATTGTGATTATTCTCACCCCTTTGAAAAAATTCTAAAAAACTGTTTTTTAGTCAGGTTTGAAATTGATCATATTCTATTTAAAATCACTACTGTTTCATGCTATAAAATCACCATGATCAATCTCACTACAGCTCTTACTCTCCATTCTAATCTAAATTCTTTATAGTACAGAATTAATTTCACTTTACCAAAGGCATTTCTTGCTATTTCTATCCTGACCCTTATATCTGTTGTTTGATCATTATTTTCTAAAATCCAGGTTTCTAGGTTTTTGAAATTTTCAACCCTTTCTATCGGTACATCTCCCAAATGTATGTTTGTTTGTATATTTGTTTTCTTTATTATTATCACATATTTCATCATCATCATCATCATCATCATCACTGGCTCGACAACCCTTTTTGGGTCTTGGCCTGTTCAAGGATTCTTCTCCATTCTGACCTGTTTCGTGCTTTTTTTTCCAGTTTTTAATTTTTAATGTTGTTATATCATTTTCTATTTGTTCTACGTATCTCAGCTTCGGTCTTCCGCTTGTTCTTTTTCCTGCTGGCACTTGTTTGAATATTTTGTTTGGTATTTCGCCTTCTTCCATTCTTTCCACATGTCCAATCCAACGTAGCCTTCCTATTTTAATGAATGTTATGATATCCGGATCCTGGTATATGTTGTATAGTTCAAAGTTATACCTTCTCCGCCAAATCCCGTTTTCTTTTGTGCCCTTATATATGTGTCACAAGATTTTTCTTTCAAAGGTGGCTAATAACGTTTCCTCCCTTTTAGAGAGTGTCCAGGTTTCTGAACCGTATGTGAGTACCGGTCTTATTAAGGTTTTGTATATTTGGCATTTTGTTTTTCTGGAGACGTTATCTGATCTTAGTTGCCTAATTAAGCCATGGTAACATTTATTGGCAATAAATATTCTCCTCTTCACTTCCTCTGCAACGTTGTTATCAGACGTAACTAGGGATCCTAAGTATGTAAAGTTTTTTACCGCCTCAATGTTGTATTCTCCTATTGTTAAATTTGGCAGCTGCCTTATTTGTGCGTTTTTTATTTGCAGGCATATATTTTGTTTTTGTCTGATTGATTTTAAGACCACTATTTTTTGCAGCTCGTTCTATTTGAGTGAATGCCTCTATCATTTCTCTTCTTGATCTTGCGATTATGTCAACATCATCTGCAAATGCTAGTACTTGCACGCTTTTATTAATTATTGTTCCTCGGGTATTATCACATATTTAGTCTTCTTATATTCAGTTTTAGTCTATATTTTTCACAGAAACTGCTTGTCTTGTTTAGTAGTAGTTGAAGTTGTTCAGCAGAGTTTGCCATATTCACAGTGTCATCTGCATATCTTATGTTGTTAATATTTCTTTCGTTAAATATTATTCCTTCACTTTTAGATAGTAATGTTTCTCCAAAAATGGATTCACTATACATTGAATAATGATGGGACATAATACATCCCTGCCTAACTCCTCTCCTCATTTCAATTTCTGGACTGGGTTCGTTATCTATTATAATATGTGCTCTTTGATTCCAGTAAAGGTTTGTAATTATTCTTAAATCAGTATAGATATGTGAATAAAATTCCTAATAGACTTATATAAAGAGGATATTAATGTCAACAGTGAGTGAGTTAAATCAAAAAGCCAGTTAAAAAACAGAAAGTCACCAGAACCAGATAAAATACCCAATGAACTGATAAAATATGGAGGTGTGGCATTCACACCATGTAACATAGGAATCACAAAATTATTGCTAAAGGTCCTTGAAGATAGAATCCCAAATAAGATAAGACAATTACAGTAAGTTCGCTTGAGAGTAACATGTAACGATAAACATGGCTTATTATATATTTTGTCATGTTTCTAGAATATTCTGGCTCAACACTGTATTAACTAATAAATCAATAGTGGATAGTCTATGTAATGAATATATTTAATTTTTAACACCTTGACCTCTTCAATTATATGCAAATAAAGCAAAGCCTTTGAATATTCTGTATTTGAAGTAGCAATATTAAGCCAATTTTAATGTGGATGGTGACACTGCACTTTGGAGAGTGTGATAATATGACAATAGTTCTAAATATAACACTAATAAATATACACTGTGAATGTCATTATCGCAGGGAATCGTGGCAAATAAAAAATATTCCTCTGTATCTGTCATTGCTTCAATTTTCTTTGATTATCATTGAAATATTTTTTTACCCAATGTTATATGATTTTCTATATGGTTAATTCTATATGAGATATATTTATTTCCAGAACATGTATACTAATATAGTCAATGATATTCTAATATAGTATAGTCTAATATACTCACGAAGCAAAGGAATAACACTGGGTAAAAATATAAACAAAAAACAAGAACAGTGACGAAAAATAAATTTTGGGATAGAAAATGTTAGGAAATCAATACCTGCATAGGGTGACGAAGAAACACAAGCGTAGAATAGGTATTTAATTAAATAAAATTAAAAATAAACACAAAATCATTTTCTACTAAAAACATTATTTAGCAAAAACAGTAGAATGTGGTTTTTAGTAAATTTTTGGCTGTTTTTATTTAAATCATTGATCCCGTATTTTTAAAGATAAACATACTTATCATGCTCTTGAGGTTTAGGAGGTTAATTTTTGTGGCATCAACATCCTTTTTGAGTATTACAGATAAATGATCAATGATCCTATATAAAAAAAACACCCAAAATTTCACAATGACATCTTTTACATGGAATATTTTAGGATTCTCTTTTTTTTTAACAAAATACATCACTAATATTTAAAAAAAACAAGATTCCGTTTCATGGGCCTGTATAAATATTATCATTGATGGACAGCACTGTTTGACAACTCGTAGTTCTACTGTTACTAACCTGTTGATATTCCATAAAATAATTATAATTCAACAGAGAATGGAAGTCAAATAAATGCTATTTATAATAACATTTCAACTTGACCTAGTATTCCTCAGGGATCTCACCTTGGACCATTGATTTTCAATCTCTTTATAAATGACATTGGTTAAGATTTTCTATTTTGTAAATTTCTTCATGGATAACCTCTGTATGCAAGAATAAACAATGTTGATGATTGTATTAGTTTAAATAAGGATATTGTAGCTCTACAGAATTGGTTGGAACCCAATATAATGAGTCTGAAGACCAAGTAGTATAACTGTATCACATTTATTATATTATCTAGAGTTTCAGTAGTTTTTATTAATATTTTTACAGCACATACACCACATTAAACACAAAGGTTGTGTAATCCCTTACAACATTAAAGTTTTGTAAGTCATTGTATCTACTCCATTACTAGTAAAACTCTTCAAATGCTTGGTTTGGTTTAATGGAACTCTAAAGATCTGTCAGTTAACCTGGTAAAAACAGCATAGGTACAGTGCTTTGGTTTGCTCAATGTTGTAGTATATGTCTAGTGTATGATCCCATATTCCCAAGTTCATATCAATACCATTTAAGAGGCTTGGAACGCACTTCTGAGGTTTATCGCTTATAAAATGAATAGGCATATTCACACTTATTCTTGTAATGAGATCATAAGGCATTTCAATGTTCTTACTTATAAAGAGTTTGTTATGTGGAAACTTTTGTTCCCCATCTCTTCTTGAGCTGTTTTGGTTTAAAGTCTCTAATGGAATATATTAAGATAAGATTTTTGCCAGCACACTACAATTGTACTTTGGCAAAAAATCTTTTTTTAAAATATATAGTGGTTATTTTAATTTCAATCTGCCCCTCCTTTTAAAAATATATAACTGGTTGACAAAGGATTTTATGTTGGCTAAACTAACTAAACCATTAAGGTGATATGCCCCTCATACTGTAATATTTTCTTAGTTTCATAGGCCTCATGATTGAGTATAAATTGTAAATTACAAAACCAGTTGCACAAACATAAAAAACATAAATCATAAAGGATTGTGAGTAGACTTTTCTTTCCACTTCATTTAGAAATAATGGTTTATTTGATATTTCCTACCACAACACTAATTACTGTTATCACAGTCCAGTCATGGTTCTCTCGATTTAACAATGTATTCAGGAATAAGATTATCAATGTTACTACAGTATCTTTGTATCTTTCAAGCAGGACATTCAACAAGTGTTAAATGATTTTTAACACTATAGAATAGAGTTTAAAGAAAGTTCATGAGATAAACATTTTTAGAGAATAACCAGATACAAGGGAACCCTAAGTACCAAGTTACAAGACCCAAGAACTTATCTTTTAAGAGTTACCTGAATTGCTTGCAGATAGATAGACAGGTGGATTAAGACATGATAACACTAAGAAACTATATGCGTCTATATTTTTTGCTATAAGGTCCTTAATAACAATTTTGAGAAAAGATTCAAATAAGCAGTTTATTAAATTTGTGAGTGATGGAGTAAGGAAAAGTACTATCTTGTATTTTATCATATTTCTAAAACCATTTGAACATAATTAAATGAGAAAATATGAAACCTCTTACAATTTATGATAAATAGATTAATAAAATAAAACTAGGTAATTAAGAATAAAAAAATATAACTTTATGGGAAAATAAACAAATTAAAATACATTGTCTTGCAGGTTTGAACTTTGTCAATTCAATTATCTATTTTAATCTATGGATGTAATGAAAGTCCAGTTGGACAATATAATACAATATTAGGTAGAGAAAGTTCAAAAATAACTTACCCCTTGAGTCTTTTTCTTGTAATTAAGTAATTGATTAGTAGCTGTGTCTCTGTGTGCCATGTTGTTTAAACTATTTAAACCAAAAACTTTGAACGACTGCTTACGTTTAAACCGTCATCAACCGGCTGGTTAAATTCTGTCTGTCCTTTTATACATAAAGTGAAATTAAATTATAGCAAAGCAATAATAAACATTGGATGATAAAAGTGATGTATGCGCAGACGATCGTGTGGAAGGGGAATATTGATGTCAAAAAATCTTCCAAGCCCAATCGTTTAACCTCTTTAGAGGTGATAAAGATATATTTATCATTAATGAGTTGATAACCTCATATTCCAACTTTTACCAGTTAAAATTATTTACATTCCGAAGTATACCTTCGCGATATGCAGCAATCTATACACACAAGCTCAATTTGAGTACGATATTAAATAAGAGTTTTTATAAAGAATTTTTTCAAAATTATTCAACTTTGTTGAATAGTTTTGAACATTATGAGATTGAAATTATTGGTTTAGTGGTGTAGCGTGTATTTTTATGTCATTTAATCTGGAAATCAGTACTAAAATGTTCAGTACACATCATTGTCATCATTATAATAATACCAAAAATATAGATAATAGGTACTCTTTACTTTTTTTCCCTATACGGAGTGAACTTCCTTAATTACATTTCTCCTTCTTTCTATTGTGGGTTGTACCAATATATATCATTTTCATAGACTTCCCGCCTTCGGCGTCTCGCACCAAGTCTTTTTTGATATTCCTGTCATGTCCTTTCTTATTCCTTCCAGCAACTATTTGTCCTAAACTCCTCGGCGTCATTCTAGACTTTCAATAATGCCTGCATTCGTAATGGTGATATACATCGGCATATCTCAGTCACGACCACTGTGCTGGTGCCCTTAAAAAGCGTCGACCGTCTCAAGCTTTCTGCTCCATTTTGCTCTGTCCGATCTTCTCAGCATCCTATGTCACCTCTTCTATACGCTTTTACTTGGGTCTTTTAATCTTTCATCCTTTACTATGTTCGATTTCGGGGCTCAGGCTACATGTCCTGCCCATTGCAGACGGTTTCGCTTTAGTAACATTAGTAACTCTTTGTACCCATGGAATTTTCAACATTTGTCTGTATATATACATCTAAGCTGCAGACTAAGGTCTAATCTAAATCTAAAAAAGTTTTCATACTCACGAATGTTTTCCTTGCTTGTTCGATTCTTGACAGTATTTCTTTTTTTTTTGGATTACACTGACTATTGATATTTGCTCCCAAATATCTTATGGAATTTGCCTGTTATCATTTGACCCTTTTCATACACATGTACGTTTATTGGTGTCTTTGAAAATACTAAAGTTTTAGTTTTGGAAACGTTTAGATGTAAACCGAACATTTCGCTGTGATGAACTACCGCATTTATTATATTTTGTAGTTCTTGTGCGTTGCTTGCTATTAAGACAGTATCATCAGCATATCTGATGTTATTTATGCTGATTCCGTTAATCTTAATTCCGCCTTGGACCTGGTCTAATGCTTCTCTGACTCTGGCAAATACAAATTAAATAGTAGCGGTGAAAAGACACAATCATGTCTCACTCCTCGTCGGATTTGTATGTCTTCGGATGTTCGCTTGATTATTGTGGTAATATCTGCTCTACCAAACTTTTTGCGTGGTACCTTACTTTCAAAAATCGATAGGGACGATTCGTCTCTAGACTTATACGAATTTTTCAAACGGGAAAACAAAGTACAAAGAAAAGATTTAACCGAATTAATAAAAACGAAACACATTCAGAAGGAAACATGGGCAGACTACTTTTGATCGCTATTTGCTAAAGGTGAAGGAAGCAATCATCATTCTGGCTTTACAAATCTGCGTGGATCCATTGCCTCTCCCCGCAAGTACATATTCCCATATTTCTCATGTCTTCATCGATCTTATCAAATAACCTTGTTCTGGGTCTTCCTCTTCTTCTCTGACCATTGAGCCTATCAAGGAGCGTTTTTCTAGCTGGGTCATTTTGTTCCATCCGCATTACATGTCCTATCCACCTCAGACGTCTTAATATGTTTACAATATCTGGTTCCTGGAACAAATTTTCCTGGTTCCTGGTATACGAATTTTACAAAGTTCGAAGTTGTATCGTTTTCTCCACACTTCATTGTCATTCACTGCTCCATAGATTCGCCTTAGTGTTTTTCTCCTGAACTATTAGGACTGTGCGTATTATTGTTTTGTAGAGTTCTGTTTTTGTCTTTGTTGATATAATATTGTGGATTTAAGGAGTAGATTGGGCCCAAAATAGCTTCTGTTGGCCGTGCAAATTCTGTGGTTTCTCTCTACGGTAGTATTATTGCTCCCAGGTATACAAATTCGTTCACTGCTTCGATGAAGTCGTTTTATATAACGAGTGGTGGTAGGATTTGTGGTTGCGTGCTTATTTTCATATAGTTCGTTTTGTTGGTGTTTATTATTAAACCCATTTTTGTAGCTGATTCTTTTAATGCTGCATACGCCTCTCGTACAGCGTTTCCTGTTCTCCCAACAATATTGATATCATCGGCTTAGGCAAGGATTTGCACTGATTTATTACCTATTGAACCAATGGTTGTGATTTTTGACATACGTATTACTTTTCCTAGAGCTAGATTAAACAGTATACAGGAGAGAGGGTCTCCCTGTCGCAGCCCTTTATTTGTTTTAAAAGTTTAGACATTTCCCGCTGTATTCGTACTCTACATTCAATATTTTCAAGAGTTAGCTTTGGTAAATTTACCAACTGATTTGGTATTTCTAGCTGTTTCATTGCATTAAACATGTCTCTTCTATTCACAGAGTCGATGGCTGCTTTGTAGTATATAAACATGTGATAAGTATCTGTTAAGGTGTGGATTTGGAAAATAAATAGTCGTACTTTACTACTATTATAAAAGGCTTTATTTCCTATAACATACATACTAATTAACTAACCTAACTTAAGCCACCATACTTCTTACTACCACCTACAACTACATGATACTCATTGACATTACTATTATTGTCTGTCATGTCAACCCATGACACTATGGGTGCGTTCCGCTTACTCTTACACCAATATATCTGTGTATACAATATAAATGTATTACATTCTCAACACGCCTCCTTACATTTACATTGTATTTACATTAATTCAAATTTAACATACTTCGAAATTTTTCAAATTTATCTTGGCCCAAGGACTTCGTAAAAATATCTGCAATATTATCATCAGAATCTACTTTAACCACATTTATAACATTTGCTTTAACATAATCATTTACATAATGATAATGAATTTCAACATGCTTAGAATTTTTTGTAAAATTGCCATAATTAGCTATACTAATTGTACCAGTGTTATCTTCATAAACATCAATTGGCTTTATTATTTCAATATCAAATATTTTCAACAATTCTTTTACAAATATCAATTCACTTACTGCTTCTGACAATGCTACATACTCTGCAAAAGTTGAAGCTTTTGTAACGCTTTTTTGTTTTCTAGATTTCCAATAAATTACATTACCAAACAATCTTATTACAAAACCAGTTGTAGACTTTCTATCTAAATGATCACCTGCCCAATCGGCATCCACATAACAATCAATAATACTTACTTTTTCATTTCTGTTATAAAACAATTTTAAATCTTTAGTTAAGCATAAATATTTCAAAATTCGTACAGCATATTTAAAGTGCGTTTCATTATAGCAATTTTGAAATCTACTCAGATAATTTACGCTGAAACTTATATCAGGCCTTGTTGCCGAACTTATGTATAATAGTGCACCAATTAAATTTTTATATTTAATATTTCTTTCACAATGATCAGATTTATCAATTTTTAAATTTACTTCCATAGGTGTATTATACAGTTTACCTTTTTCTAAATTATATTTTTTCCTTAATAATTCAATATATTTATTTTGATCCAATCTCATTTCATGTTTACTAGAATCATAATCAACAGTAATACCAAGATATTCTTTAATTTCACCAATATCTTTCATTTTAAATTTTTCTGATAATAAAATTTTAATCCTTTTAATTTCATTTAAATTTCTACCACAAATCAATAAATCATCGACATAAATTAATAAGTAAATAATATCATTTCCAATTTTATAAACGTACAAACAAGGATCAATATTACTTCTTTCAAAACCTAAATTTATCAAAAATGTATCTAGGCACTCATACCATGCCCTTGGACTTTCTTTTAAACCATATAAAGCTTTAACTAATTTACAAACTTTACTTGTTCCATCTTCATAACCCTTAGGTTGTTTAATATAAACTTCAGAAATTACTTACCATTTAAAAAGGCTGTTTCAACATCCATTTGTTCAATTACTAGGCCCATTTGACAACAATATGACAATAAAATCTTTAATGTTTGCATTTTAGCCACAGGTGAATAAATATCATCAATTTCATCAGTTTGTTGAAAACCTCGTACAACCAATCTAGCTTTATAAGTATTATCAGACTTTTTAGTATAAACCCATTTAACATCCAGAATATTTTTGTTTGTATCATTTTTAAACCAATTTCCAAGTTTTACTTTTATTTAAACTATCAATTTCTTTGTCCATAGCTGTTTTCCAATACTTACTTTCATTAGAATTTATCGCCTCCTCAAATGTATGTGGTATATCAGTTCTACACATATTTACAAAAATACTACTATTATATACATAGTAGTCATCAAATTTCTTTGGAGGATTTTTGGCTCTGTGAGATCTAGGTAACTCAGGTTCATTTTTATTCACACTATCATCCATACTTTCATTTGTACTTTCAAAAGTTTCATCTATTGAGTCATTTTCAGAGCTTTCATCAATTTTATCAGGGTAACACTCTTCATTATTATCATTATCTGATTCGTTAAAGTCTAAACCTATACACTTAACGTTTTCTTCAACAATATCCACGTGTCTAGCAACAATGACTCTGCCATTTAATAATACACGATAACCAACATTACTATAACCAATTAAAATTCCCATATCAGCTTTCTTATCCCATTTAGAGATTCTCTTCTGTTCTGGTCTTCGTACAAAAACTTTACTTCCATACAAACGCAAATTAGAAACATCAGGTTTCTGTCCAAAAAATATTTCATATGGAGTTTTCTTTTCAATTGTATCAGATAAAGTACGATTTTTCAAATAAACCGCAGCACAAACTATTTCAGGCCAATATTTTTTATGAATATCTGCTTCAGCCAACAAACATCTTGACATATCCATTATAGTTCGATTAAACCGTTCTGCAGTCCCATTCAATTCATGTACATATGTAGGACAATTATCAATTACTATACCCCTTTCTTTTGCAAATCTGTAGACTTTACTGTTCAAATATTCTTTCCCATTATCACATCTTAAAATCTTTATTTTCTTTCCAGTCAAATTTTCACTTTCATTCGTATATTCATTCAAACAATCACATACTTCTGCTTTTGATTTTATAGCATATACTTTAGAAATCTTACTATAATCATCAATGAAAGAAACAAAATAATTTTCACCTTTAAACCCAGTAGTTCGAAAAGGCCCACAAACATCACACTTCTTCATTTTCAAAAATAGCATAAGACGTTTTTTCCACATTTTATAATTCTCCCCATCGAATATAGGTATTCTAAAATCACTACTACCTGCCATCATGTGTCACACTTTTTTTTTCAAACTGCACCAAACTTTTTCTGTTGTAAAAGGTACGACTTTCCAACCACGGACCTCTGCTACCATGTTAAGGTGTGGATTTGGAAAATAAATAGTCGTACTTTACTACTATTATAAAAGGCTTTATTTCCTATAACATACATACTAATTAACTAACCTAACTTAAGCCACCATACTTCTTACTACCACCTACAACTACATGATACTCATTGACATTACTATTATTGTCTGTCATGTCAACCCATGACACTATGGGTGCGTTCCGCTTACTCTTACACCAATATATCTGTGTATACAATATAAATGTATTACATTCTCAACAGTATCAATATGCTATATTCTAGTGTTTTTTCTAAAAAATTGTTTCAGGGTTGCAATCTGATGAATTGTCGATTTACCACCTCCTGAAACAAGCCTGGTATTCTCCTGCTATCCGTTCTGCATATGGTGCCATATTACTGTGGAAATTTTTTTTGTACGCTGTGGTTAGCTCTAGATCGCAAAAATTGATTGTTACAATTTATTAAAAAAAAATTGAACAGTTTTTCGTCTGGGTGACCTCTTAAGAGTTATTTTGGGGTATCTCATGAAAGTGATTATGCAAAAAATCTTATGGGAATATTTTTCCGAACGAACTTGAGCTTTTTGCCTTGTCTAAAGATGGTTTACAAGTTTAAATCAAATAATATAAAAAATACATCTTTAGATATAATATGCCGTAGCCGTAATTACAGCTACGTACAAGGCCAGCTTCAGCTGTCAAATTTGATTACTTTTTAATTTTTTTCTAAGTATGAATTTGAGGTTAGGTCCTGTTGAAGGTACAACAAATTAACGCTTTTTAGCTTTTAAACTCAAATTTAGGTATGGCCGAAAGTGCTGGAAACTGGTGTCTCATTGAAAGTGATCCTGGTGTTTTTTCAGAACTAATTAGGGAATTTGGTAAATACTGAATTTCGAGGAATTATAATAAATCTCATATTCTTGTTTTATAGGATGCAAAGGAGTACAAGTGGAAGAGCTGTGGGGACTCGATAGCGACCTATTCGAAAATTTAAAGTAAGTAAGATACTTAGCTATTTCTATCTAATATATTGAATTGTTTATAATTACCCATTAAGTTCTACCCATCTGCTGTTAGTTACCCATCTTGCTAGACTGAATGGAGTTCGTTTTAACCAGCTCACCATTTTTAAATATTTTCTGCTATTTTTACCTGTTGTCTGTTATTTACTATCGTTTTTTTTTTATATAAACAAAGTTTAATGTCAAACTTTGTATTTTGAAAATGACTGGCTCAAATACACAATACATTGTCACTGGTCCATAGTTTAACATGATTAATGCCAACTCTAATAGAAGTCTCTAAATTTTTCTTATCTAAAAGTCTAAAGTCTATCTGATTATTATTATTTCTGTATATAAAAACCACAAAGTATGCTCTCTTGATGTTACCTTGTATTGACAAATACAAGGTAAAGTAAAATAAACCACTACTAGGGTAAAAATAAAACAACAGGTACAGTTGAAAAGAAACTCAGCCACAGAGTCTAGGAAACAATATGCAGAGCCCCTAGAGCACTATGCTCTAGGGGAGCCCGAGAAGGACAGACCTAGCTGGCTGAAAATCACTGATATTTATAAGTATTTGGAAAAGGAAATATTTATTAAAAAAGTAAAAAGCACACAAATAAAACTAGCGATACACAAGAAAATATGTGAAACAAAAGTACTTACATATTTAAATATATAAAAATAAGAAAATGTTCTTAATTATCGCAACACTGCAAAAAAACACTACACATTGGAAGGTCGATGGTGGTGACAGCATCTGCAGGTCCATCCTCAGTCGATGTACTCACTCCTTCGGCGGTTCGTCTTCTTCGAGGCGCCTGGATCCCATCTGCCATATCCAACGGGGTTTCGTAGGCCTGTGTGCCTAAGCCTACGTGGTTACGACCACATATCTGTAGGGAGGCAGTGACGGATACTCGTGATTCCGTTGGCAACTAGGCTTCTAACTCGAGAAGGCCTGTCGAAGGTGTCTGCAACAGAAGGCCTGATGTGCTGTTAACTGATGTGCAAATCGATGTTCTCCCACTGTTTCTGAATCCAGGTGGATTTATCTGTGTGCCTTTTGTGCAGGTGGGTTGTGGGCTCAAAAGCTAGTTGGGCGACATGTCGTCTTTTTGCGGAAAATAAGGGGTAATAGTATTTTATGGTATTTTCAGGTTAACCAGCCAATAAGAAAATTCGATGTGGGGCGATGCGCATCAGAGTGCATACTAGTTCTCAGACTATGGCACTTGATGACATATACACTTTAATACACAGCTTATAAGTATATAATATATCGTACATTTCATGAACTACACAATTCAACCAACTCCACAATTAAAGTGCCCATTGAAATTCACTACTGTGACCTTTAGAACTGCCTGAAAATATTTTTCTTCACAGTTGTTATGGAAAATCTTACACAATATTGATTAAATTGTTAGTTAAACAATCACTACCAATAGTTAAGTTCCAGTGCGAAGATAATTCAAAATTTCATATAAAAGATCATCTATCACTATTTTTTACAATTTAAACTAGAATTTCATCATTCTTTTGTGGCTTAATCATGTAGGGATGTTCTGTATGATGTGTCCTGGTCAAAATGCACCTGTTCTATCCAATTGGTTATGTTTTTTAAATACCTTTTAGGACAACAAAAATGAATAACTAACAATGAGAAATTATTTCACAAATGTCAATTTTTTACTAAATATTGTTATTTGAATAATATATTTTTTGTAGGCCAATTCATGGATTAATATTTTTATTTAAATGGACAAAAGATGACGATCCATCTGGTTCCCTAGTACAAGATAGCAGATTAGAAAAAATATTCTTTGCTAAACAAGTAATAGAGAATGCTTGTGCCACTCAAGCTATCCTCAGTGTTCTGCTGAATTGTCGTCACAATGATTTAAAGTTAGGACATACACTTAATGAATTAAAAGACTTTTGCCAGGGTTTTGATGCTAACATGAAAGGTGATTTTTTAAATTTAACTTAACTAATATGCAATTAAGTCAAGTCATCCTTTGAATGAATATGAAACAAAAAATAATAAATATGAAATGGAAAAAATATTCAATAGAATATTTAAGTAATTTATTATTTTTAAAATATTTAACTTTTAAAAATTATCAAATTGATTTACATAAATGTATGCAATTTATATAAAGAATATTCTAAAACATTGCACAATCCTTATAAGGCAAGAGCAGTGAAATTGTCATCATCAGAATTGTATATTTTATTGATTTATTGAATATCACTCAAAAGATGACCAGACTTTATTGTAACTTTTAATTCAATTTAATTGATGCAATATTTAACTCTTTTACGGGCACATTTCTCATGTCGAAGAGTCTAGTCATTGTAAATCTAGACCAGTGTTACCCAAAGCCATACTATTCAAGTGGATTTTAAGATGTTTAAGTTGAAAAACAGTGGAGATCTATCTGTAAAGTTCTATGCAGAAGAGACAAAAATAATCACATCAAAAACTTTTATACTTGAAAACATGCAGATGAAAAGAATTCAGAGAATTTTACTCAAAAGTAAAATATCTATCTAAAGAATTCAAATCTTTAGCACAGATCATCAAAGACAGTAGTGGTCAAACCATAATAAATCAGGAAGGTATCTAAGATGTGCAAAAGCTGAGAACACCAGTAAAACATATGCCAAGTGGCAAATTTCAAAATAGTAGACAGATTTTATACTTGGGCTCTATGATAACCAAAAATGGAAACTTTGGAAAGTAAGCCTAAGCTCAGGTAGGTTCATGCCCTTATTATTCCCATTGCCTCATATACAGCTGAAATATGGACTCTTAAAAACTTGATAGAAGTAAGATTGAACCATTCAAATTGTGGGTCTCCAGAAAGGAAAGGTAGAAGGAAAAAGACCAACAGTAAGATCTTCAACAAGGTAAACAGATGGAATATTGTTCATTTGGCACAGGATTGCAGTCAATGGAGGCAGCAAGTTTAGAATATTTAGAGTGTCAACACACCCTTGACAAGGGCTCAAGGAATGTTGCATATATTATACATGGAGGAAAATAAATGTATAAGGTAAATAAATAGGACAGGATAGGTAAACTCTTGTATTCATTGACAAAAATGGAAATTTAAACCATGATGGCTCTGATCGCTTTGTCCCACAACTTTAGGGTTAATATTATTTTTTATATAACCTCTTTTTTTTCTTTAGGTTTAACTATTAGTAATTCACCCGTGATTAGGACCGTTCATAATTCATTTGCGAGACAGCAATTGTTTGAATTTGATCCAACAATGGCAAATAAGAATGATGATGCATTTCATTTTGTAAGTTATGTACCTATCGACGGTAGATTATATGAACTAGACGGTTTGAAGCAAGGGCCTATAGATTTAGGAGCTATACCGGCAGAGGCTGAATGGACAGATATTGTTAGACCTATTATAGAAAAACGAATACAAAGGTGAGTGTAATTTTTAAGCATAAACTTTATTAACTTTATAAACTTTAACAAATTAACATTGTAACATCCATTTGTTTATCATCATGGCGAATGCAAGACGAATCAGATATTAAATTCGAGTGGCATATCAGTTGGTATCATCGGAATTCGCGTAATGAGAACTTCCACATCGTTAAATTTTCCAGAATATAGAACACAAAAACCTTTTTTGAGCTTTGCTAAGATAGCGTCCACCTCTAACGATCACAATACAATAGAGGTAATAATACTCCTTAAGACATCCTCCCACTGTTGTTAAAGTAGTTGACTGATCTCTGAAGAAGGTATTCATGTTTCTAATATTATGATAGTTGAAATTTTTAAATACAAAATCAATATATGTGTACCTTTCTCATGTAATTACTATGATTTATGAGCCATGACATGTCTAGAAGGGAGAAACTATTTATCTTATAGACTAGTGTGCATAAACAACAGAAAAAATTTTGAAGAACAGCGGGAAACTTTGTGTCATTGTTACACAATAAAAGGCTGGTATCGAAATATGCACAGACATCAGTCAAAACAGACATGATAAGAATACCGAAAATAAATGTTACTTTTGTCTTACAGATATTAGATATTATATTTTCTTATTTTTCATACAGAAATCCTATAGCGAAACATAATATGCCTAAGTATTATATATATTAGCAACATGAGAGCTGTTAATGGAAGATATGTTGATAAGTCTTTATATTTTTCGAAAATTGCCATAACTTTTTTTTTTAATATTTAATATCATTTTAGGTATAGTGAAGGTGAGATCCATTTCAATCTTATGGCTATCGTCTCAGACAGAAAAATGATGTATGAAAAACAAATAGAGGAACTTCAGAAACAAAGCGAATCTTCAGGAATGGAAACGGACACCCAACAGGCGGAAATAACGAAGTTACGTCTTCTTATAGCCGAAGAAGACAACAAGAGGCATCACTATCAAATAGAAAATATCAGACGGAAACACAACTATTTACCCCTAATTGTAGAGATACTGAAAATTTTGGCAAAAGAAGGCAAACTTATGCCTTTGTATGAACAAGCCAAGGAAAAGACTTTAAAAAGACAAAAGTCAAAAGCCTCCAGTTGAATTTTTGTAACCGAAAATTTATTTTGTAAGAACACCATTTTTGTATTTTTAGACTTACAGATGTGGAGATGATTTAAAATAAAATAAAATCATAAATAACGTTTTAGTTTATTTATTCAATATAATACTTCCAAACGCATTGAAAGTTTAACAAACCTGAAGCAACTGGTCAATTATTCGACCACAACAGCATGGTTTGAACTTTTTACAGGACCTTTCGAAAGACCGAAATTATGCTAGGACTGTACCTTTGATGTAGATTCCTCAACCAAGATATTATTATGCCATCGGGCCCTTTGCTGTCGTCTATTTAGCATTCTGGGATATGTTGCTGCAAACAGTGAAAACTATTTCGAGTTCTGTAACCATTCTAGAAAAACCCTGGTGATTCATGTTGTATTTAATATTCAACGATATACTTAACCCTGAAGATCACACATATTTTTTAATATAAACTGCGCATATTAAATACCCAATGATTTGTGAAAAAAAATTAAATAATAAATATTTCATGATTTCCAGAGTCTGTCTAATCACTATTGAATATAAAAGAATAATCAAATCAATTATTTTCTTCTCTTAATTGTCGCAACATAAAATAAAAAACATTTTCTAAAAAAATCCAGAAACATATTTCAAAATATTTGACCTTAATTTAACTACAAAATGGTATTTCAAACTAAAAGATAACACCTTTTGATTATAGATTTCAGATTCGTCAGGTGTTTCAATTTTACTCAATAACACCTGGCTTGCTGTACTAAACTTGTGGGTTATTGAAAGGTTTTCAACTTGAAGAATGCCATAAATTTTTTGCTTGAGTGATTTCTATAAAGAAGATATTTGAAATCGCTGTCGCATTAGTAGTTCAATTAAATCCATTCCCAAAGATTTCAGAAATACTCTATTATTGTTAAATAAATAGTAGTGAATAGGAGACAAACCTGTCTATGGTTGACAGCGCGACTGACGTGTGTTAATGTTAACGGTGTATTGTATTGTAATGGAACCACATTTTTAATCATGTATTTTTATGTATCACGATTTTGAGTTATTATTAAAATAAAAATATCAACACATTCTTTTATTTTATATTAATCTATATAACAATTATTAGATGTATTTTCTTTCCAATGGGGATTTGCGAAAGAAAATAACACCATTGCAATTGTACCACTTGCATTAAGCATGTTGAAAAAAAAAGTGGAACAGTAGGCGGTACTGTAGATTAGCGCGAAGCTTCATACTATATTTTCTGCCACATGTTAATGCATTAACAAAGCATACACGGCATTACAGGAATCGATGTCAAGAACCTGTGACTACTAACGACGCCATCTTGTGGCGCTAGTTTCGTGACGCTCGCCTCAGCAATTTACCGTACAGAAAAAATAATGGAATGCTGGAAGCTTCTTCTTCTTCAGTGCCTTATCCGGTCCGGATGTTGGCGATCATCAAGGAGGTTTTGTTGACTGCTCTGCGAAACAGCTCCGCTGAGGTCATCCCAAACCATTGTCGGAGATTTTTCAACCACGAGATACGACAGCGTCCCGGTCCTCTTCTGCCAAATACTTTACCCTGCATAACGAGTTGAAGAATTCGATATTTTTCTTCGTTCCGCATCACGTGGCCGAGGTACTGAAGCTTACGTTGTTTAATTAAATTAAGCACTTCTTTTTTTTTTTGTCATGCGCTGTAGGACCTCAACGTTGGTGACATGGTCCACATAAGATATATTTTAAAGCGAAGCTGGAAGCTTCGCTTTAAAAAAATATTGGTGGCCATCGTCTGGATTTTCGTGATGCAGTATAAGAATAGCATATTTGGTCAAACGTATCTATACCCCATTTTTTCATTGTGGGGGTGTATAAGGTTTGGTTTTTCTGTAACAACATTTAACGAATCATTTTATGATTCACAAAATATGTTTTGACGTCCATTGTTTAAAAAACAACACTGCATATATGCACGTCTGGGATGATGTTATGTTTTCTGACTAATGCACTGGGCAAAACAGGAATATAAAAACTAGCCTTACGCTACTGAAACTTGTTCAAGACCCTCTATTGGATGTGGAAAAAATTGATTTAAAATTTATGATACCAGGCCACTCATGCCTACGCAATGATACTGAATTCGGTATAATAGAGAGTAGTAAAGAAACATGGGGCCATCAATATGCCTGATGACTGATACAACATTAAAATTACAAAAGTCAAAAAGCCTCAGTCTGAAGTTTTGAATCGAAGATTCAATCACAAACAGGACAAAGGACACTGAAGGTAGGTAAAGCAATTGACTGAAGATTCGGTTGTTGAGGTTTAAAAAAGGAGCATTTTTTCAAATAAAAATAAATAAATCTTTCAGTGAAATTTCGAAGTTCCGAGCCTTGGATATCTCGAGCAAGACTAGTAAACAAAGGCCTGGGAGACCCGCGGAAGTGCAAATCTTGTTGACTGTATAGCGGGGTCAGCTTTTACCCAACGAGAAGAAAAATAAATTTAAAAAAAGGAGAACATGTTGTCTTTGCTGCCTTACATAAACCCTATTCAACATGGCTACTTTAGAAACCTTCCAGGCAAGAGAATCTTTAAAGTGCAACGATTAGGCGTTATTAATGTATAGTCATTAAATGATTGGGGATTGTTGTTTTTTATTAAAGCTAAAAATATCGATTTAAGCCATTTCTCCGGGATGTTGCTCTCTACATATATGTGGTTGAGAATTCGGGTGAGTCTCTTTATATTACCGTCATCTAAGACTTTTAAACAGTTCAACTGGAGTTTGATCAGGACCCGGTGCTTTTCCTTGTTTTGCATGCTTTACTTCTGAGGGTAAAATTTGTAGGTATTATTCTTCTTCACCTATATCTTATTGCTCCCTTACTTCCTTTATTTTGCTTCTCTTCAGTAAGTAGTCCTCCATTATTATCTCTTGTTATCAGTGTTCTTCTTTGTTTGGTGTTGCCTGGAAGTTCTTTAATTTTTTTATGTAAGTTTGAGGTGTCATGTTTGTTGCTGAGTTCTACCAGTTCCTGGCATTCCTTGTTCATCCATTCCTACTTAGCCTTTCTAATTTCATATTTGATTTCATTCTTGATAGTTTTATATTTATTTTCATCTTTATTTTTGTATTTTCTTTTTTCAGTTATTAGCTCAACTATTTCCGGTGTCATCCGTAGTCTTGGTCTTCTTCGTCTTGGACCTCTTTTCCCATTTTTAGTATGGCTTTTTTCATATCTGCCCATTCCACGCTTCCTTCAGTTAATTTTTTTATCTCTGCGTTTAGTTCTTGTTGACAGTTGTCGTCTTTTAGGGTTTTGATGTTTATTTTGATGGTTTTAACTTTTTTCTCCGGGTTTCTGAGTTTAATATTGACGTTTGCTTCTTCTTCTTCTTATGGTGCCCTATCCAATTAGTGGATGTTGGCGACAATTCTGGAATACTCCTCTCGATCTTGTGTGACTCTAAAAAGTGCATGGGCATCGAGATTTGTCCAATCCCTTATGTTTTTAAGCCATGAGTATTTCTTTCTACCCATGCCTTGTTTTCCTTCTATCTTCCCTTCATAATTGTAAGAACTGTACTTGGAATTTCGAAATATATGACCCAGATAAGCAGTTTTTCTTCTTTTTATTATTGGCAGCAATTCTCGTTCTCTGTCCATTCGATTTAATACTTCGGCATTTGGTTACTGTAGTGTGATCACGGTCTATCATCCATATAGCAGTATGGAGTAAATGTAACATTTTACAAAGCGATATCGAAGCATTAAGTTGAGGCTGCTGTTGCTTGGCAAAGTTCTCATATTAGTAAATGCTGTTCTGGCTTGCTCAATTCTGCTACGTATCTCTATGTCTGGATCTAGATCTTCAGTTATCCAACTACCGAGATATCTGAACTTGGAGACCTTTTGGATGTTCTTGTTGCTTACTCTTATATTCAATTGCATATTTCGGGTTCCACTAACCACCATTTCTTTAGTCTTGTCTATATTAATCTTCAAGCCCACTCGTTCTCCTTCAGTGTTTATTCTATCTATTAGTCGTTGTAGCGCTTCTTGGCTATCAGCTATTATGACTGTATCATCACCATAGCGAAGATTACTAATAGTCTGTCCGTTGATTTTGATTCCATCTTCAGTGTCACTTAAGGCTCTATCGAAAATCGTTTCAGAGTAAAGATTAAAAAGGAGGGGTGACAGAACACAACCCTGTCGTACACCTTTTTCGATTGAGAAATATGATGTAGATTTCAGTCCTACTCTCACAGATGAAACTTGATTCATATAAAGGTTCTTTATGATTTTAAGGTCATTCTCATCTATCGAACGTTCCTGGAGCAATCTTATTAATTTTAAATGATTAACACAATCGAATGCTTTCTGGTAATCTATAAAGCATAGGAAGACATCTTTTTACTGATCTCTGCATTTCTGAAGTAGGACAGTTAAGCTATAAAGTGCTTCTCTTGTGGCAAATCCTTGTCTGAAACCGAACTCAGTGGGGCTAATGTCTCTTTCATATCTGTTGTATAGCCTTGTGTGAATTATCTTTAAGAAGAGTTTTAGCCTCTAACCTCTATGTATATGTCGTCTGGGCCTGGTGCTTTTCCCCATTTGCTCTGTTTGATTGCCCTTACAACTTCTGACTTCAATATTTTGGGGGAGGGTTCACTTTTATATTCACTTTCAGAGTTTCTTCTAGTTGTGTCGTGAGTATAGTTGCTCTGTGTAGTTTCTCCAATGTTGAAGTAGATCTTTAGGATCAGTAAATAATTTATCGTCCTTCACAATACTGTTAAAACTGCCGAAACTTTTGTTAATCGTTATAAAATCTATTTGGTTTCTGATTATATTGTTGGTGTTATCTTTTGGAGAAGTCCACGTGTATATAATGGACCTACTAATCGTAGGTCCACTACGACCTACCCACGTGAGGGTAGGTCGTAGTATGTCTATATGTGTAGCAAAGAGTATCGGATAGGTTTAGTGAGGCATGTTAGGAAATCAGGAAAATTTTTTACTGGTTCTAAAAATAAAACATGAGGTTTATTTATTTTATTAATTCACAAAAA